TCAGGGAGCACAATGGAGAGCTGTGGAGTGACCATTAATGGCCACATTTAACTTGGGTGTTACACATTAGGGTGGGATTTCCAGAAGTATTTTAGGAAGTCAAATGCCCTGTTTGTAGTGGTTTGCAGTAAGGGAGAGGCGGTGAATTCCCAGGGGAGTTTTGGAAAGGCCACCCTCGAGTGTCAGGAAGTGAAAAGGTTTGTTCAGCAGTCACACTGTTGGCCATTATCGAGTGCTGCTAAAACTGATGTTACCTGAGAGTAGGAAAGGCTTCGGGTTCTGCTCCCAGTCTCCATCCCAAACTCTGCTGGTATCTGTATTCTGAACACCTGGTGTTCTTTTAACACACAGGATCTCCCACAGAGAAGATAATGCTATAAATTATGTTTTTAATTGCGCTGAGTGCCTTTGTGTCACAAAGAAATAGTTTTTCAAACACTGATGTGATCCTCTGGGGAACTGAGGCGTTAATTAGCAGCTATTTCTCCTAAGCCAGCTCTGAACAGCGAGGGAACTTGAACTGTAAAGCTGCTTTAAGCAAATCAGCAACCCAACATGGAAATATTTGCCAATTTCTCCCTTTTCCTGGAAATTCAAGATCCACGGAGCTTCCCTGCACCCCCGATGAGAATCTTCATTTGTATTGCAGGCACCTTTTATCCGTCTCAGGATCCGCACCCCTTCTGTCCCACACGGTAATTTGGAAATGCCACGTGCTGGGTCTTCACTGGGAAGATTTGGAATAGGGCAGATAAGGAGCTTAAAAAATTCAAGTTTAACAACATTCTATGAAAATTAAACCCTACACACCTTAACAAGTAAAAGCAGAAATATGTATCTGAAATATATCTGGAATATCAGCACTACCCCGAGTGTCAGACCCAGGACAGCTGAACCAGTTCTCGCTCTGGGCTGCACATCGATCGTGCAGCTCGTAGTGAAATCCCAAACAAGGGATTTTCGCACCTGGAAAGATCATCTCAGGAAGTTCCATGTGCCATCCCACATCATTCCAGTCAGCACCAGCCTTGATTTCCCCTTCTACCAACACCTGGACTGCAGCAAAGAGCTCAGCAGTCAAACCAGCACAAGGCTCTGCCTCCTGGAAAACACTTCCTTCTCACCATTCTCTCGATGGAATCAGAAAACATTTCCAGGGCTCTTCCCCCACTCCTCATCCCTCCCTTCTTCCCCGCTGGACAATCACAGGTAGCTGACAGCTCTATCCTGCCCCATACTAAATAGAAGCCCTATTGAAAAGCACCAAGAGCTCTGTGTTCCCTCAATTTAATATCCCAGCCCCGGCCAAGCAGACA